GCAAGTTATCATTATATCTCTGCTGAATACTGGTGGGAAATCCTGTGAAGACCTCTGAAGTTCTCTTCCTGGCCTGTTTTCTCCTCTCCAGGACCACACCCTATGAACTCAAGCTATCCTACTTCTCTACACTCCTAATTCCATTTCCTCAGTTTGAGGAAAATGTGGACTCTACTCAGTCCCTGCTCCTTGCACTGAAGCCTAACAACTTACACCTGTCCACTTCCCTTCTTAGGAGACACTGTCCTTGACTACCTACCATCCATAACACTGTTGTTCCATACATTTCAAATTTGTTCAGATGATTTAATTTGATCCCTGGTATTCCATTATGACCAGATGTGGAAGTTACCGTTAATTTTTTAATCAGTTTTTATTATACAACCCTTGCTCTCTCATCTGCAATGATATTTTGGTAATTTAAGAGACATTCAACAACCTTACTATAAAATGGGTACAACTACAAGAAAAGCATATAAGTGAATCAGATATCAGAACAACCAGACTAGAGCAGATAGGCTGGGCTAGGGCCCTAGGTATATGGAAAGCTGAAAGGGCATCTAACTATCAACTCTTTAACAGTATGAGGAGGACTTTCTCTTAGTAGATGAAGGCCTCCCAGGAATAGGGGGGGAAATCAGATAGTAGGCCACTAAGAATGACAAGATTCTACTATGACCACATTCTCTCCCATCAAGTAAATTTAAACATGCACTCATATAACACATGAAATATAATACATATAGCCAGTTTGTTTAAAAAATAGTTTGTTGAGCTTGGGATGTAGCTCAGTGGATGAGCACTTGCCTAAGAAGCTGGTTTAATTCCCAGCATCACAAAAGAATAAATAATAAAAAGTTCCTCTATAAATTAGTGTTATGCTCTGTCAAAACTCACCAACATGCTGGTAATGAACCAAAAAGGAAACATAAGTATGCCACTTCATAATGTATGACTAATATCCTTCAAAAGCAGAATGTTTACCTAGAGAACTGTTTTTTTTTTCATATAAAGTTCTTAATTGGATAATGAGTGAGATCTTGGATTGTGTGGTAAAACTGTTTAGCTCTACAATTAATTTCCAAACCCTCCTGTAAGCAGCCATGTCATTTGGCATCTCCACTACCATTGAATGTTATTCCACATTCCCAACAGCATTTGGTATTGTCAGTATTTTAGATTTCAACTATTCTAATTAGAGTAGTTGAAATCTAAAATAATTAGTGATATGCCATTGTTGTCTTAATCAGTAATTCAGAGATGACATGAGTCTTTTCATAAATTCACTTGCCTTATGTATATCTTCTTTGGTAAAGTACATGTTCATATCTTCTTCTCATTTTTTAATTGAGTTGTTTCTTTGCTTACTGTTTGAGTTTTAAGATATTTTGATATTTGGATATAAGTTCTTTGCAGTGAAGAGATACCACCAAAGTGTCCAACCAGTAAGGACACTGGGTAGGGACCTGGTCCAAGAGTTGAGAGGGCAGAAACTCCCTTGGGAGATGAGTTTTATCCCCTGTTGTGCACCATCACTGGACAAGAAGAAAGGGACAGAGGTGAGGGCCTAATGGGGAGACAGGGTGTCATGGGTAAAGAGGGTACAAAGATAATGGGCTCTGTTTATCATAGAGTACCAGCACAAGCATAGTTCAAGGGAAGAAATAACACTTGACCAGAGCAGACAGGCATTCCGACAAGATGAGGAGGAGATTATTCCATCACACTGAGGAGGACAAGGAAGTATGTGATGGGGAATGTCAGAGCACTGGGGGTTATTATGAAGGAATGGTGAAGTTTAGTGGGTGAAGGGGTCAGATTGAGATAGAGGAGCCATGTCAGGACAGACAAAACCCCATCAGCAAACACTGGCTACATCAGGGCAGATGGGCTGTTAAAGTGGCTCACTAAGGATCATCAGGGACCTTTCTAAGGCAAAATGCAGACCAGATAGGACCAGCTGGGGTTGTCTGAGTGGATCATTGAGGGTATACTGGGTGGTTAGGGGGAGGATCACAGGAACCTAAGTAATTGCAGATTTGTAAATGCTTGTCCATGCCAAGGAGATCTTATAAATGGGTCTGGGGTTGTGTCATAGGGCACACATGTCTTTCATGTGTGTTTGATGATTTCATCTGCAGGGGTGTTAGTGTGAAAAGTGTTGGCCAGACAGAGGGAGTTAGCTGGCCTTGGTGGACATATTGTCATAAAGGGAAAGTTTGCATGAGGTCACTGTGAGGTGATGGGTTCAGGGTGTCCTTGAAAGACAGAGAGGCATGAAATGGCTCTTTGTGACAATTGCTGACAGGTCTATTGGGATTTGTAAAGGCTAATCAAGTGTTTATTATCAAAAGTTAATAAGAAATTCCCCAAGCTTAGTAGCAGGAAGTCCCTTCTCACAGGGCTGTCCAACTAGAAGGGTGGGCAAGTTGTGGGTCACTGTTTTTTGGGGGGAGGGGGGGTACCAAATTTCTTTATTTGAAGGAATGGTACAAATTAAAGAACATAAGTGGATGTTTGGGTACAACTTATAGAAAAGGTAAAGGTAACCCCAACATGCATGCACTGCCTTGGTGACCAGGGAAGTCACTTCCATGGCTATGGGTAAGTCAGCTTAAGGTTTAGCTCTGGTTATCACTGTCTCCCAGGGTGTGCTTATCAAAGAGATACTCTGCCACGCCAGATTCTGGGGCTCTCATCTTGTGCAAGTTGGTTTCATGGTCACCCAGTTCTCTGATGGATTTCACCTGCTCGTTCAGGTAAAGAGTCTCAATGAAGTCACACAAGTGGGGGTCATTTTTGTCAGTGGCCAGTATGTGCAGTTCCAGAAGTGACTGGTTCACACTTTTCTCCAAGTGCAAAGCACACTCCATGGCACTGAGCCCACTCTCCCAGTCACCGCGGTCTGGTTTCTTGATTTCCTGAAGGAGGATTCGGCCTCCTCGTTGGTTCTGCAGCTTCATCAGTTTCTCGGCATGTTCCCTCTCCTCATGAGATCGGTGCAGAAAATATTTGGCAAAGTTCTTCAAAGCCACATCATCACGGTCACGGTAGTAAGACATGGACAGGTAGACATAGGAGGCCTAGAGCTCCAGGTTGAGCTGGTGGTTGATGGCGGCCTTCGAGTCGTGGTGGTAGTGCTGGCGCACCTGCGAGGGGGACATGGTAGTCATGGGGGAGGCTGAGGAGAGGCCCGGTGCTGGAGCGATGGCGGAGGCCTGGGGCCATCCGAGGGAGCTATGAAGAGGTGGCGAAGGGCTGCTGGCTCTGAGCAGCCGGCCGGGGTGAGGGTCGAGCAACGGGTTCCGTCCAAGCACTGTTGAAGCAGGAAACTGCGGGTCTGGGTCACTGTTTCTGATGTGTCTTATTTCCCTGCTGTGTGGATGGTGATTTTCTGCTCCCCAGTTCGCCCTGAGGGCTCTGCAGCAGCTGGATAGGTGTCCAGAAATCATTCAGGAACAGGTGCACTGTTCATTTTGCAGGAGCTCACATCACAAACCATCACAGACTAAGTAGCTTAAAACACAGAACTTAAATTTCTTTTTTTTTTTTTAAATATTTATTTTTTAGTTTTCGGCGGACACAACATCTTTGTTTGTATGTGGTGCTGAGGATCGAACCCGGGCCGCACGCATGCCAGGCGAGCGCGCTACGGCTTGAGCCACATCCCCAGCCCCAGAACTTAAATTTCTTACCATTATAGAGTCTGGCAGTCCAAGATCCAGGTGTCAGCAAGTCTGTTTTCTTCTAATGCCCATCGCCTTGGTATGCAGATGGCTACCATCTTGCTGTGTCCCCACACAGTCATCCCTCTGTTTCATTTATGTCTTAATGTTCTTATAAAGATACAAGTAAAATTGATTAAAGCAAATACTAAAAACTCTACTCTGACTGAATTACCTCTTTAAAGGCCCTACCTACAATACAGACAATAATCTGAAGTACTGGAGTTTACCACTTCACCTTATGGATTTGAGGAGAATATAACTGGGTCCAGAGAATCTGTCTTAAGCCTGGGGACACAATTCCAGAATTAGAAATGGGTTCTATAGACTAGAAGAAGCCATATTTTCTGCACAGTGTTAAATACATAATATTGTTATGCAACCAGTTCCCATATCCATTTTCATCTTTTTAAAAGTGAAACACTATACCTGTTAAAGAACTAGTCCCTGTTTCCCCATCCCTTGTTGTGGTGTGAACTGATAAATACAATCAATAAGAATGTAAGTTATGGATTATAGATATTAGTAAAAAAATACAGATTATTGATATAAGATTTTGATATCAATAATTGTCTTATTAAGACAATTATAAAGCAAGACAATTATAAAGACAATTATAAAGCAAGAACTGTCGTAGACAGGCCCAAGACTTTGCTTCCTTCTATTAAAAAAAAACTGTTACAAGAGCTGTTTCTGAGAAACTGAAATGAAAGCTGTTTTCTTATATTGTTTTCCATACTTTGTACCCCACAAAATGTACTCAACCCAGGATATGGTGGTCTTGATGACCCAAGACTTTGAAGTAGATTCTAGCCCCCACTAACCACCTGCTTGAACTCAGGATACAGTTATCTAACACCTGCTCAAACCCAAGGTGCAATTGTGAGTTGCTGTGCTAAGTGCTGTCTTAGCTTCTACGACTGGCTTGCTTGTGTGACGCTAAGGAAAGCCCCTGTGGTTGTGTTTTTTGGCTTTAACTTTTTCGGCTTTAAGTTTCCAGGATACAGGCCAGGAAATTGCTGTTCTCCCTCAGAGCTTCAGTCTCTACAGGTGGGTGACAGTCCCTGGCCAGGTAAATAAAGCTCTCATTGATTTGAATTCTCACTTAGAGCGTTTTCTGAAGCGGCTCCCCATCACACCCCAGGCCCAGACAGGCACATTCTGCAATCCATCTCTAGGACTCTGACTACTCCTGGTGCCCCGTAAAATTGGAAATACACAATATTTGTCTTTTTTATGACTAGCTTATATCATATTCTGCCCTGGGATTCATCGATGGGGTAAGGTGGGCAAGATTCCTTCTCTCCTGAGGCTGAGCAGTACCTTGTGTGTGTGTCAACACACATATCTACACACTATCGGCTACGTGAATGATGCACTCGTGATGTCAGAGGAGGGCGCCACACTTGAAAGGGTGCCTCGTGAAGCTAGTGCAGGAAGCGCGGGAACTGCATTGCGGAGCAGCCAAGAGACGTCCCGGGCCCGGAGTCCACGGTGCAAAGGTGAGTCAGGGGGGCCAGGGGTCCCCGACAGCGAGAACCCCACAGCTCACTGAGGCCTCCCCACCTTGGCAGTATTAAGTTCAAGAAGAGCATCCCAGATTTGAGGGACAAACCCTGACAGCGACCCCACACTCCCACCCCACCCCTTAGTAATAACCACCACATTGGAGACTGAATCTGTAGGAGTGAGGGTCCTGTCTGAGAGCACTTCCCCATGCAAACCACCTCTCACCCCAACCTCTGGAAGTAACTGGAGAAATGGGCACCCCACTTGGAATGAGGATGCCCCCATTTTTTGTAGAAACTCACCCTTTCTGTGACTAAGAGGGGCCTTCCTTCTCCCAGAAGTGAGAACTCCTTAGCAAACACTCCCTACCATCATCACCCTAGGAATGAGCTTCCTTCATCTGTGTAGTGCCCTAGACATAAACTTACACCCTGTCCCCACAGGCTGTGTCTGGGAAAGGGGGCTGATATCTGGGCCTACATCTTGCAGCATGTGCATAGTCAGAGGTGAGCCAGTGGGATCAGGGGAGGGTGCCAGGAAGAGGGCACAGGCAAGTCTCTCAGTAACTCCTCTTCCTCTACTTCTCCACTATAGCAGTGTCAAGAAGATCCAGGGAAACTTATTGTGGTAAGTGCTTCTCAATGTTGTCCCATCCTATCTTCTCCAGTCCCATCTGGTCTTGTCCCACAGTCTTACACTTCCTGCCCTTCCCTCTGCAAGCCCCACACATATCCTAACTCTGGCATGGTTTCTTCAGGTATGGCCACCAGGACAGTCCAGAAGGGAAAATTCCATGCTATAAGATTCCCTTCCACCCAAGAAAGAACTTGTACATCTTTTGCTCTAGGCCCTGCTTGGTGCTGGATATGTTGGGGTCAAAGGGTTACAAAACAGCCCTAATCCCTGCATTCCTAGGCCATCAGTCCAGGGGGAGCCAGAAATCAACTGGTGTAATGGCACAGTTGGGGGTATGCCCCATCAAAGCTAGTGAGGGGAGAAGGGGAATGGACAGATTTGGAGAGATGAAAAGGCTAGGGTGGGATCCAATTGGTGCAAGGAACCTAAATGACATCCAGGGGGAGGCTTTGAGGAGACCTCAGGACACCTCAATGTAGGAGTTAGAAAGAGATCACCACTGAGATGGAAATGTATCACTAGCACAGACAGACAACAAGCTGGGAGGATGTGAAACAAGCTCAGGAGGAAAGAGGGAGCCAAAGAGTATACCAGTACTTCTGCACAGGAAAACTCCTCATCCCTGGCAGTTGAGGAGCCTGGTGCCTTTCAAAAGGTAGTCAGGCCAGGCTAAGCCACAGTCAGAGCGAGCATCCGACCCTACACCTGATCCTACGAGGGCTGTCAGAAGTTGGAGCCAGAAGCCACATTGCAGCCTGCCTGCAGACAGAGATCCAAGAGTTACACCAGAGCATGGAGCTGATGGAGCAAGAAACTGAGGCTCAGGATGACAGCTGAGGCCAGGAAGAGGGGCAATATAATGCTGGGTGGCTGTGGAACAGGTGCTACAGAGCACATGGGACACCTAACATCAAGCTCTCCTAATGGCCCAAACTGGGGCCCAGCAAAGACAGCAGCATGGACTTCGAGACCCAATATAGCAGCTGCAGAATCAGCTCAGACACGTATAGAACATAGAGAGGTAGGCCTCATCTGCCCAAGAGACTAGCTTTCACCAGGTGGCCATACATTCTCCCTAGAGATCCCAGTGTTCTTCCCAGATCCTTACTGGGTTCCAGAGTTCTGAACACCCAACCATAGATTTAAGGTTCATAAGACCAGGGAGTTTGGTCATCTTACATACCTGTATTTCCAGTGCCAGGAATAGTACCAACTGTACATCAAGAACACCATGTCTACGGGAACACAGTAGACACAGGACAAGCCCCTAACCCCTTGGACTTTATGCTTTGATGCAGAGAAGGCAGACTGCAAACTAGGAAACAGATCCTGTCATTTTGGGGAGAAATAAGTTCAATGAAGAAAAGACTGTGACCGAGGGAAAGGTGTTTGCTACCTGAGCTAGGATGCTCAGGACAGGCCGCTCTGAGGAGGTAACCTGGGTTGGGGCACAAATATTCATGGAGAGGGAACAGCCAGGCTCCAATCTTGGCCTTCAGGAAGAGCTGCCAAGAGGCAAATACAGCTCAGTATTTGAAGACAGGAGGGACAAATGAAGAGGTGAGGTAGGAGAAGCAGTCAGAGGGCGCTGGAGGCATAGGAGTTTTACTGGTAGATGGAGTTCATGCCCCGCCTTGGCCATTTATAACTGTGTGAGCTTGGGCAAGGGACTTAACTTTTTTGTACCTCAATTTCTAAGATTGATTGAATCAGCTAATGTTCACACCAACCTTTTAGAGTAGGTATGATAATGAGGTGAGTTAAATCACCTATAGCACTAAAGAGACTGCCTGTTCTCCACTGTTGTCATTCTGAACATGTCAGGGAAAGGTCCCATTGTCGTGCAGGGTTTTGAGCAGTGACTTCATCTTCCCCAGGTTGTATGAAACATGATTTCTGACCACTGGGTGGAGAACAGACTACAGGGGTGAGAAGCAGAGAGACCAGTGAAGGGGGCTCATGCAGTAGTCCTGCCAGGATATAAGGGTGGCCTAATCTTAGAGGTGGCCCCTAAGACCCAGGCTCAGCAAAACCTGTGACTAGCCAGGCTGGCAGTAGGAGGGTATGGGGCACAGACACCTGTTCTCCCAGGTACAACCTGCCCCAACTGCACTCCTTCCTCCAGGAAGGCCAAAGTGAATGTTTCCTTTGGGCCCATGACATCAGCAGCTGTGGCCCTGGATCCTGTGATCCTGGTGAGAGTCCTGGGCCATGGGAGTAGGAGTAAGGAGTCTGGGGCCAGGCAGATGCCTGGGTTTGGCCACATCCTTTCCACTCCTAAGCGAGATATGTGAACAGCCTGCCTTTGCCAGGCCCAGTTCCTTCAGAACCTCCTGATTCTCCAGGCCAGAGAAGGAATCTTACCATGAGCATCCGCAGGCCCCATGGACCCTACAAAGAACGTGGATTGGGGGGGGGGGGGGGGGGGGGGGGAAAAAAGTCATTTATTTATTCTTCCTACAAGGAATTCTGGGGTATAGGAGGCCCATGCCCAACCCCGCCAGGGCTCCCAAGCTGGGACCCGTTGTAGATAGTGACAGCCAGGTGATCAGGCTTTTGAGGTTTGGGAAACCTCAGAATCTCTGAACATCCAGAAGAGGCTCTTACACAGCTAAGGAAGCAAGTAGGGAAGAGGTTCTTTGGTGAGTAGATTTAGCTAAGGTTTGAGAAGATGAAGTCTATTTATACGTCCGTTTTGAAAGTGAAAGCGCAGAATCCTGTATTGACCAATCACGTGAGTGCACAAGACCACTGTACCAATCAACTTATAGGTTGGAGCATCATTGCATCTGCAACCAGCCAATAGAAGTAGAAAAACGGGATAGGAGGTGGGGCCTGCCTCGTCTCCATGGCAATTGCCGGTGACTTATGCGAGCTTCTGTGTAGTCCAAGTAAGGCCAGATCCAGCTGCCCTAATGGTAATGTTTAAGGTGAGCAGGCAGGAGGGGGAGGAGGGGAAGGGGTGTGGGGAATGATGGGGACAGGATTTTGTTAACAAGCGCATAGAAAAGTATTTGGAGGGGGCACAGATTTAGAACAGAGAGACTATTCAAAGTAGATGGAGAAGTAGTTGAAAAGATCAGGAAGCTGGTCGTGGGTAGAAAGAAGTTGTTAGAGGGACACGGGACACCAATTTATAAGGGGTCAGAGAATAGACTAGATAGATAATAAGGGGAAAGGAGTCAGAGTTTACAGTATTCAAAGAAAGTCTTAGAGTAGACAAAGATTTGGGTGGGTTAGTAGGAAAGGGTTAGAGCAGGATCAATGAAGGATTCACCCGGAAAAGTGGGGGAGATTATATAAGAATCAGTGAGAGCATTATTTTATAGCAGGAGAGATTTAGAGGGGAGTAATTAATTTATAATGAAGGTTTTACAGATTAAAAGTGATAGTGGGTGGATATTATTTACAGTTTGTTTTACAGGGCGAAAATGAGGCTGCCTTCAGGACAATGGCAGCATTATAGATAAAAAAAATGCTGTAAGAGATCAGTTGAGTTTGAGGGAGTAAGACTCCTCAGAGGCAGGGATTTGGGGTGGGGGACAGTAGAAGGAGCCAAATGAAAAACCATGGTGGGAGTCATCAAAATGACTGTAGAGAACTTAGAGGAAGTGATAGGAAAATAGGTTACAGAGAGAGAGAGAGAGACAGATTATAGGACCAGAAAGTGGGGAGTACTAATGGACATGAAGATTTTTAAACAAGCATAGAGAGAGGTTAGAGAGGACATAATGGGAATTACAGGAAGTCAATAATGAGAAGTTTAAAGGGAGACAATGAAGATTTTATAGGAACTAAGAAGAAATGCATTAGGGTAAAAAGTGAGGGAATGGGAAGGAATGGCAGAGTCCGGAAGCCATACTCACCCAACCCACTCTCTGCCCACCAGGTGGTTGAATAAATGACCGATAATCTCAAGGATGGCAGGACATGACGGAAGGAAGCCCGATGACTACTTAATCTTATCAATCGTGGCTATCATTTGCTTCTGGCCCCTAGGAATTCCAGCCTTGATCTTTTCATACAAGGTGGGAATCTCCATGATGCCAAACCACATCCTCCCTCTCCCTCTTGGCCCTGACCCTGACTCAGGTTCTTCCCTGTTCTCCATCGCATCCAGGGAACCTGAGCTATGGTTCAGACCCCACACTGGGTCCTGACAGTCCCACAGCCTCATATACCCTTTCATGCTTATCTTTTTCTGTTTCCTCTCCCCTGAAACTCAGACAGCAAACTACAATCAAAAAAGACAATATGGCAAGGCAGCCAAGACCTCTGAAATAACCTTCTACTTGTCCATTGCAGCCATTATTTTGTTGATTGTGCCACTCTTCATTATAGTCTTGATGTCATTGCTAAAGAAGTGACCTCATTCTCACCACAAGAACAAACCACCAAATACATGCAATAATGTAACTAAACACTGTGTTTTAGTCAGTTTTTTGTTTTTTTTTTTTTTTTTTTTTTTTT